TTGAAGGTCCACAGTGTACTCCATTGCACCAACAATGGCTGTCACGGTATGACTGTGAATCGAGACGAGAACGCTTCGAAGAACATGCTGATGCTTCTGATCGAGTGCAAGCTTCGTGGTCAACCAAGACCACTCGCGTTTTCAAGACCAAGAACGTGAAAACAACGGCAAGTGTCCACGGGTGCCTCGATGCAGCAATGTGTCGAGGAGGCTCGTAGCAATCTCTCTAGGACAGCCTGCTCAGGCATTATTATCCTGTTTGCTCTATAGAGTAGGTAGGCGCCAGAAAGTCGAGAGAAATCCTCATTTCAGAGGGTGACATTCTCGGTGAAAAGCATATTAAGGAATGGTCTAAAAGAAAATTAAAAAAAAAAAAAATCATGGATCGCGATCTTTGCACGAAGAGTCGCAATATCTTTGCGGCTTTGATTGACAACCAATGGACCATCATTGCAGAATTTGACACGCATCGGATCCAAGCATGTCGTCGTCGGGGGCTTTTACGTTGCGGCTGGTGGCCTTGTTGCTGTATCTTGGGCACTTCCTCGCCCACGCTCAGCAAGTGGGAACATCTTGTTCGCAGCCGCGAATTCGCAAGTCATGGGATAGCTTCACCGATGCGGAGAAGGCTCTGTACACCGAAGCGGTCGGAGTGGCAATGGATCAAGGTTTCCACCAAAAGTTCGTGCAAATCCACACTGAGAAAGTCACGGGTCTCGAGGCGCATCAAACGTGTGTCTTCATCTATTGGCACCGCATGCTGCTGCTAGGCTACGAGAATATGCTGCGCAGTCTCGACCCCTCGTATCAATGCATCACGTTGCCGTACTGGGACCACCTCTCGGCGTCGGCTCGTCAAGCAAGTAACAATTGCGCCAGTATCGAGGGATGCTCGCCTATCATCTCTGACTTTGGTGGAACGACCACCGGATTGAGCAAAACGCTATCAGTCTACGGAACAAGCATCGCCTCCTCGTCCAGGACAATCTGTGTGAATCAAGGACTCGCCTATCGTTTCTGCGGGAACAATACGGGCTGTGCGCATTGCATTACCCGAACTCGAAGTAAATTCTTGACTGCTACCACTTATCCCACCGAAGCTTCCTTTGGCTCCGTGTATCAGCAAGTGTTCACTTACAGCGACTCCGGAAGCTTCACCTTGGCGGTCGAACGAGGCGTCCACAGTACGTAACGCTTTGCACCTCATTGATAATTACAAAGTACTAACTTCATTGTATCCAAGACGCTATTCACAACGCAATGGGTGGTGTAATGGTGTACTTCCAAGCCCCTGTTGATCCTGTATTCTACTCGCATCACACGCTTATTGACCTGCTGCAGACGATTTACTTGAAATGCCAGAACGGAGATGGAAGACTCTTCCTGTCCAGTGAAGCGAAGAGAAGTGACCCTCGGTTCTGGACCTCTTGTGCTCGATCGGGTGGCGTGAACTTCAGCGGCTCCGATAATATCACGATGCGTGCATTGGCCAATGACGGCAAGACGAACGTGAATGTGTGGCAAGACCCCAACAATATCCTGTATCCGTTCTTCAAAGATCTACCCTATAAGTATAGTGACTACGTGGACGCCAAGGATCTGGGAAACTACAGCTACACGTACAATATCAGCGGCGGGCTGGCCAATATGTACGAGAACTGCAACGATTCCAATACCTTGACTGCAGTATCGCTTCTTGCGGATGAAAAACTAGCAGCTACAGCGAAGAAAACGAAAAATCCGCTACTTCCGACGATTTCCGATGGAACGGAGGACGATGACTCGGTGAAACTATGCAACATTGCCCTGTTCGAGACTGCCCAAATCCTCGGCTACAATGAAAAGGCGGCAAATGAGCAAATGGAGATGATCGCGTGTGCTCACCACGGCGAGTGCATTGGCCCCATTGACGACTATTCTGACCTTTTCCGAGCCAATTTCGGTGTCAAGGGTCACACTCGCTGCTTCTCTATCATGGAAGACCTCGTGGCTGGTAGACGAATCATCGGGATTCCGACGTGGCGAGAGATCACGAGGCGCTTTTTGCCGTGCCCTTTGCAGGATGGAGAGGACTCGGAAGAATCGGATGAGGCTGTTGCGTTGGAACTCTGACGAGGGACCATTGAACGTAGAGCTTGCCCTCAGATAGCTTGTATTGAGCGGAGACTAACATTCTCTACCCACTGATTGCTGTCTGCACTTCAAGCTCAATCAAGTTAACAATACTGTTCCAAATTCTTATGTATATCGCCAAGGAATGCAAAGAGTCAACATCGAATTCACGAATGTGTGTCGCCTTCATTTTCCATTGTGCAAAGCATACACTTTGCTGAGATCTTCTGAAACGACAAGCTCTGATGAATGTTTGCGATACCCGCTTCATCACCGGGTGTACATGCCACCACCATAAAAGAAAACAAATTCGATGCTGTGGGTTCGTTATTGCTATCGCCTATAAAATATAACGTTACATGCGTACTATGATACATTTAGTTTACTATAGGATTCCCGGAGCACAATCTTGTTGCAGTACAGCAACAACTATTTATTGAATCTCGCGGACAGGTTACTGTTCAAATACTGTACTAACTTGATTCGCATGATGACACTCCAATTGAATACTGACTCGCCCTCTACAGCACAGCTCACGATGGGTTTGTGCCCGTACGACTTTCCCATGACCAGCACTCGCATTGCTGCATGTATCGATGCGAGTCCCCGACGGATAGTTACCATCTGCACGGGCGATCATGGATCATGATTCATTGTATAAGTACCAACAGTAGTACCGGATTTATTTAACCGCAACAGCAGCCAGCTACGCCACCCATTACCAAAATGATCTCTGACCCATACTCCTGAAGGTCTAGTGCTCCACACCTGCGCTACCGTCTTCGCAGACGTATGCGCTTTACTTTGCAATATTTTTACAATTACCTCTGAGCATCACTCACACACTGCAAGTGCAATGAATACTTATTTCGGCCAATAGATGACTGCATAACAATATACTTGAATTCAGTGTTTTAGACTGCATCTTTGTTGCCAAAGCAGGAGAGCTAGCATATCATTCGACAATTTGCACGATGGCGACGAAGCGTCCTCGCTTGGACGCAGAAGACGACCCAGGACCAAACTCGCAAGTGAAAAAAATCGAAGACATCTCATCGGAGCTCTCACACCTGACCACAGAGACAAAGCGACGACGTCAAGATGTGGCTGCACGACGCGCAGCAAACGCTGACAAAGACGTAAGTGTT